AGACGTACAGACGAATAAGAGGAAACGAAAAAAAAATTCAATCAAGGTAAAAACCAAATAAAAAATTTGAAGGTCCGCGAAAAACGCGAACCTGTTGTTTAATTTCAAAACCCGTTATGTGACATTTTTTAAATTGAATGAAATAAAGGTCATAAGCGAAACAAACGATTGATTTCATTTCATTGAATTGATTCACTTTCTTTCTAATATTTTCCACTCGTGTTCGCACCGAAAAAAAAAATTATCATCATCATCATCATCATCATTATTATTATTTATTATACGTGGTTGTTGTTGTTTTTTATACTTGCGAAAAATTTGGAGTTTTTTTTTTTTTTTTTTAGTTAAATTAACGATGCGAATATTTGGTTAAAACGAAGCAAAACATTTAAAAAAAAAAAAAAAAAGTAAGAAAAATCGGTTTCGGACGTAAAAGGTAAAAAAAAAAAAAATGTAATTAATTTCGAAACTGGCAAATCTCTCCAAAAAAATGAGATCGTTAAAATTAAAAGTTGAGGCATCATCTTTTTTTTTGTCCCCACCGTACCCTCTCCCCTCCTCTGGAATTTGATGGTCGTTAAAAATCTTGCTGGACCATATATTTTGGAAACTTTTTTTTTTTTTTTTTTTAAAAATTTCTTATTTATTGCCTTGAGCGAGTGCATGAAACTCAAACTTCGATGAATGTAATAAAAAAAAAAAAAAAATTTCATTTTGGAAAAAAAAAAAAAAACTTTAGGCCTAACACTCCTCCTCCTCCTCCTCCTCTTTCTCCTTCTCCTCCTCCCAAATTTTTTTTCTTCCATCAACTTTCGAATCTTTTCGTTATTTTTTCTTTTATCTTTTTTGTGCTTTTCTATAATTTCGGGTATTTGTACAGAATGATAACCCATATGATAGTTGAACCCGATAGTAAAGGTTTTGGAAGTGATGGTGGTGGCGAGGGGACAGAGAAAAGAAAAGGGATGCTGGAATAAAGTTCTCTGAATCGATAATCTTATTATTATTTATTATTATCATCATCATGCGTGTGCTTATTACTTTATTATTGTAATTCGTACAACGGGATCTCTTTCTCCTCACTTTCAATTTATCAAAACGATTAATAATAATAATAATAATAATAATAATAATAAAAGCCAACGGCCATAGCGTGCTGGTCACACCGGTTCCCGTACGATCACCGAAGTTAAGCAGCATCGGGCGTGGTGCAAACTTGGATGGGTGACCGTCTGAGAACGCCACGTGCTGTTGGCTTAAAAGAGCAAAAAAAAAAAAAATGAGAACAAGACAAAGTAAGAACCAAAAAACAAATCTTGTTCTACTGTCGACCTGAGGCAGCTCGACGAGAACGTGAATTTCACTGCTTCTGACCCTGGCCACTCCAAAGATGTTAGTCACCGGAGCCCAGTTCAGGAGACAAATCGTTCCCATCGAAAAAGACGGACTCAGGAAGACCTTCAAGAATTGATGTGGTGCTATCTTATAATAAGTGGCACCACCGAAATTCGAGTATTTGTCCCTAAGGAATCGGGTAGAAACCTCGGATAAATACTTAAAAACTCCGACAAGTAGCCTTGTCGTGTTTAATGGTGGATAATAATAATAATAATAATAATAAT